AATAATAATGCATAAGGGGCTGGGGTTGTGGCTCAGCGGTAGAGTGCTCACCTAGCAAGTGCAAGGCGCTGGGTTCGATCCTCAGCACCACATAAAAATAAATAGATAAAGTTACTGTGTCCAACTACAATTGAAAAAAATAATTTAAAAAATAATCATAATACAGCTGGGCATGGTGGTGCACACCTGTAATTCCAGCGGCTAGGGAGGCTGAGGCAGGAGGATTGTGAATTCAAAGCCAACCTCAACAAAAGCAAGGCGCTAAGCAACTCAGTGAGACCCTGCCTCTAAATAAAATTCAAAATAGGGCTGGGGATGTGGCTCAGTGGTGGAGGGCCCCTGAGTTCAATCCCCAGTACCAAAATAATAATAATAATAATAATAATAAATCATAAATAAAAATTATAAAGGAAAATACTATTAACATGTCAAACTATTAATAAACCAAATGCCTCGACAGCAGCTGGCTCTAAATGCTCACCTGAGTGTCTTAATGACTGTGTTTACCCTCTAAGGCATGCCAGAGTCACCTGGCAGGAGGGACGGTAATGACCACCAGGATGGCTGTAGCCACATCCAGATGAATCCCTCCTGGTGTGAGGTAGTGTCCAACTTCTTTTTTTTTTTTGGGGGGGGTTACTTGGGATTGAACTCAGGGGCACTCAACCACTACTTTGTGTTTTATTTAGAGACACTGCAAACTGCTGAAACTGTGTTTGGACTATAAAATTGCCTTTCCCCTCTCTATATTCTGAGACTTTGTGCCAACACTTGGCCTCCACATAGCACTGCAGGCACCCCGAAGCGGCTTCTGACTCCAGCGCTGGCTGTGGTTGCAAGATTTAGTTGAGATTTCCTTATCTGATTTATTTAAACCATTGGTTTTTCTTTCCCTCAATTTAAAAATATTTTTTGAAGTTTTTAATTGTAGCAAAACCACATAACAGAAAATGTACAATCTTAACCATTTTTAAGCGTACAATTTAATAGTGTTAACTTTATTCACATTGCTGTCATTCAATGTTATCTTACTCCCATTTCTTCCTCCTAACATAGAAGGTATGCATAGATATTATCTTTTTTTTGTGGCACTGAAAATATATTGTCATTTTTATTATAACGATTGATATTTTAAGGTACTGGATGGTCCTACATAAAATAAATGTTTTCTTTCTTGACCAGTTCATTACCTTTGAACTGACAGTGTTAGCAGTTAAACTACTTCAGATTTCTTTGATTCATTATAAATTGTTGTTTCTTTTTGGAAATCAATAAAAATACTTATGTCTAAAAGGCATGACTGTTAAACATGATTAGTGACACTGAGACAATTACAGAAAGATAGTTTTTTGAGGGGGTGAGACAGTGCTGGGGATCAGATCAAAGGTCTCCACAGGGCCTCCTGAACACTGGCCAAGCTGGTGCATGCCTGTAGTCCCAAGCACCAGGTAGATTGTGGCAGAACTGCGAGTTTGAGGCCAGCTAGGGCAATTTAGCAAGACTTTATTTCAAAATTTAATTTAAAAACATTTTTTAAAAAATAGGACTGGGGACGCAGCTTTGTGTTAAAGTGCCCCATGTTCAATCCCGGTACCAAAAAAGAAAGAGAAAGAAAAAGAGATGGAAGGAGGGAGGGAGGGAGGTTGGGCACGTGCCGTCTGTAATCCCCATGACTTGGGAAGTTGAGGCTAGGGGATCGAAAGTTCAAAGCCAGCCTCAGCAACTTAGCAAGGCCTTGTCTCTAAATAAAAAATAAAAGGGCTAGGGATGTGACTTAGTGGTTAAGTGCTGCTGGGTTTAATTCCCAGCACAAAAAAATAAAATGAAGCGATTGCCTAGCACTGATGAGGCACTGGGTTTGATCCTCAGCACCACATAAAAATAAAAAAGAAAAGGCTGGGAATGTGGCTCAGTGTTTAAGAGCCCTGGGTTTAATAGCTGCTATGGAAAAAAAAAAAAACCTTCATGTCCCATTAGGCAGTGTAAGAGAGTTATCTGAAATTTGAATGTGTGTACCCCAATAATTCTTCACTCTAAGAATCACATTTACAATGCAAATTGAACAAATGAAGCAATAATGCCAAGCAAACACTCAACCTTCCCAGAATGTCCATCTCACACAGAAAAAACTTGGACCCTTTTTAAATATCTGCAAATGCAAAACAAGAAACAATGTTCCTTTGAGAAAAACTGCCACAGTCTCAGATCTGCCGTGTATTCTATTATTTAACCCACACATGAGCTTGCTGTGTGCCAGGCAGGGCTCACAGACAGCAGTTCTCAAACATTTTGGTCCTGAGACCCCCGATACAAAATATTGAGAAGTCTTGAGAGCTTCAGTTTATGTAGGTAACATCTATCGATGTTTACTAAGTTCAAAGGTAAAACCAAAATTAAGAAAATATTTACTCATTAATTAATAACCTAGGGCATGTTCACATTTCCCTACCTAATCAATGTTTTTTTTTGGTACCAGGGATTGTACTCAGGGTCACTCGACCACAGAGCCACATTCCCAGCCCTATTTTGTATTTTATTTAGAGACAGGATCTCACTGAGTTGCTAAGTGGCTTGCTAGGTTGCTGAGGCTGGCCTTGAACTCTCGATCCTCCTGCTTCTCAGGCTCCTGAGCTGCTGGGATTACACACACACACACACACACACACACACACACACACACGGCCCCCTGCACCCAGCTCTTAATCTTAGTTGCTGTTGCAAGTCAGTGATCTTCAAAACACTGCTGTCCCTCTCAGATCCTCAGTGTCCCCAGGAGGGCCTTTGACCCTCTTCATCTCATAACAATGGCTACTTACCCTCTCCTGACAAACCTCTTCAGGTCTTTTAGTTTAAAACTCTGTCCTATAAACCAGGCGTGGTGGTACACATCTGTAATCCCAGCAATTTGGAAGGCTAAGGCAGGAGGATCGTGAGTTCAAAGCCAGCCTCAGCAATTTAGGGAGGCACTTAGCAACTCAATGAGACTCTGTCTTTAAATAAAATACAAAATAGGACTGGGGATGTGGCTCAGTGATTAAGCACCCCTGGGTTCAATCCCCAGTACCCCCACCCCCACACACACACACAAAAAATCTGTCCTATATCTTCAGTTGGCCACCAGCTAAGGCCATAGAGAAATACAAAAAAGCAAAGGGACTTTAGCAGCAAATCACCCCACAACCAAACTGCAAGTCACAAAGAACACATGATATGACAAAAGTGGCTTAGGCAGGTTTTTGTCTTCTTTTGATTTTTTTGAAAACAAAACAAAGGAATCTAGAAACAGAGTTTTCATAGGAGGACTGGAAATTTCTCACCTTAGTGCTCTGCCATGTTCAGGGTGAGAGCAGCCACACTCCATGGGCACAAAATGGCTGCAACAGCTCCAACCATCAATAGTCAAAGGAGGGAGGGGCCAGGTATGGTGGTCCATGCCTGTAATCCCAAGGGCTTGGGAGGCTGTGCAAGAGGATCCTAAATTCAAGGCCAGCCTCAGTTATTTAGAGAGGCCCTGAGCAATTTAGTGAGCAATTTATCGAGACCTTGCCTCAAAATTTAAAAAAAAAGAAAGAAAGAAAGAAAAAGAAAAAAGAAAAAAAAGGGGCTAGGGATGTGCTCTGCGGTTGAGTGCTGCTGGGTTCAGTCCCCAGCAACAAAAAAGTCAGAAAAGAAAAGAAAAGATGGAAGGAAGAAGAGCCAGCACTTGCAGATTCCAGACTTCTCCTTGGGCCCTGAGGCCCATCAACTGCCCTTGAGCAATGGCTGGCAGAGGAGTGAGAGGATATGGCCTTGGGACAGCTGCTGCCCTAAGAAGTCGGAGCTCCAGCTCCAGGGCTGCTGGCCAGGCCGCAGAGCATACGTGGGAAGTCGTCCCACAGAGTCTCCCTCCAGCGATGTGGGTCAAAGAGAAAGTGACATGCCCAGGGTCACGTGGTTCTGAGTACAGATCAGCAATGGGACATCCTGGTTCCGACTCTCGTGACTGGAGTACGTGTACGAGGTGGCCAGGATGAGGGCAGAGTCACACAGGGGTAGAACAGGGACTGTGGGGGTGATCTCCCTCCACAGCACAGAGCCAGCGCACGGTTGCTCACTCAGAACTGGCTGAGGGCACTGGGGACTCCTGAGCAGCAGGGACAGTCAGAGAGTAGAAATATCCTGTGGGGCCAGGTAGGGAGTGGACTGGAGGCCAGGAGGTCAGAGAAGAGGCTGGGACGAGGGTGCAGGAAGAACACAGGCTTGAGCCAGAGCCAGGGCCTAGGGTACAAAGAGGAAGGGACACGGCAGTTGGGGGCAGAAGGACTAGGGCTTGGGGACGGATGGGTTTTGAGAGGGCTACAGTCCTGATGGCTCTGGCCTAGTGAGCTGATCATAGTGCCCTATGTCACGCCCATCAGAGCCCGTGGGTGAACAATGGAGCTGTTGCCAAGCCAGGGAGGAAGGGGAGGCCCAGATGAGGACGAGAAGATGCTGCTCAGTATGGAAGTAGAAAGCATTCCCTAACTGGGGCATCCCTCAGTACACTGGAGCCTGGATTATTGGGTCCTTGAAATTAAAATGGGCTGAGGCAGATGCAGTGGAATCCCAGCATGCCCTGTAATCCCAGTAACTGGGAGGCTGAGACAGGAGGACCTCACCATCAAAGCCAGCCTCAGCAACTTAGCAAGGCCCCAAGCAACTTAGTGAGACCCTGTCTCAAAATCAAAAAGTGAAAAAGGAGGGCTGGGACTGCGGCTCAGGGGTAGAGCGTTTGCCGTGCACACGTGCGGCCCTGGGTTCGAGCCTCAGCACCACATAAAATAAATAAATAAATAGATATTGTGTGTCCACCTACAACTAAAAAAAAAAAAGTGAAAAAGGGCTGGGATGTAGCTCAGTGTTCAAACGCTGCTGGGTTCAATTCTCAGTACAAGAATAAGAAGAAAATGGGCTGAGAACCAGTTTCCTGTTTTAAGACCCCAAGAATCCCACAGCTGCGTCGCTGCAGATGACACCCAATGTCTTGTTCTTTGGCATTTTATTTCAAAATTGCAGCAAGAACAGAGAGAAAAATAACCAACGGCAGCACCGGGTCCGGCCTGAGAACGGAAAGATGTGGAGCCGTGGCCAAGGCACTTCCCTGACCCCCACGACACGCCGCAGCCAGGGGTACCTGATTCCTGGAGCCCAAGATGCGGAGCGAGGGTCCAAAATGCCTGGTTCTGGCCTGTGTGACTTTGGGAGTGTAGCGGCCACGTGGGGGCGTCAGAGAGCCAGGCGTCGGCCCGGGCCTCCTCTTATTGCACTTCAGGAGAGTCAGCGGTACGGAGGCGGGGCCGGGCTGGAAGCTGATCTGAAGGGGTCGGCGCGGCCCAGCGTCACACTGGGAGCATCCACTTGTGGGCTTTTGTTCCATACTGAAGGACAACGGAGGAGCATGAGGGGGAGCTGCACTGCAACTCCCAGCAGGCCCTGGGGCGTCCCAAGCAGAGTGCCTTTGGAACTGTACCCTGAAACCTCATGGGAAATGTAGTCCACCTCCCAGGAGGCCCACCAACAATCCCGGGGAGGGAAAATCAAGGCAATGACACAAAGGCTTAAAGGAGAAGTAGTTGCAAAGAGAGGAGTTACTGAAGACCCGGAAAGGATTTTGGAAAAGTCGTTTTCAACTTAGAAAGCCTGGTCGAGCCAGAAGTGTAGTCCCAAGTCCTCAGGAAAGGCAGCCAGGAAACCCAGCAGCTCTAGGTAGAGAGCCAAGGAAAGGAGCCCAGAGGTTCCCAGAAAGCTCTCTTGGCTCAGAAGAACAGAAATGCTCCAGAGGCTTATGGGAGGAAGCATTCTTGGGCCAGAGAGGGGGCCAAGGGCCAGAAGCTCAGAAGAAAACTTCCTAGGCCAGAGGGAAAGCCTAGGGCTCCAGGGAATCTCAGGAGGCAGAATCCTGTGGCTAGAGGGCAGGCCTTGGTCCCACAAGCTCCTGGAAAGGGGAGTTCTCCCACCAGGAGACCCAGGGGCCACAGGGACTCATGGGAAAGGGGCTTCTCACACCACAGTGTTACCCTGGGGCTCCTGAAGCTTGCAGGACAGCGTTACTCAGCCCCAAGAGGTGGTGGTCCAGGCCACCTACTCAGCCAGGAGGCTTCTGATCCAGAGGCCGATAAGAGGTGGTACCGCTATCATTCCTGGGAGTGTTGAGGGGGAGGTGGGCTCCTAGTCCAGATGCTCAAGGTACATGAACTTCTCTGGGAACAAACATTTAGCCCATTTCCCCAGTGAGTCCAACCCACCTGAATCGCCTTCAGCTCCTTCTGGAAGCGGAGGATAAGCTCAGGCCCATTTTCCATGGTGGGAATGTGGAGGTGCTGGGGAAGAAGGTGCCATGAGCACTAGGCTCCCCCTTTTCTCCCGCCCCCAGCGGGGTTGCACCTCACCTTGTCTTTATACAGAATTCGATGCACAGGGCAGACCTGGCAAGCGGTGCCTGAGCCAAAGACTTCCCGCACCCGGCCCTCCTCCAGCGCCCGCAGCAACTCCTTCATGGTGATCTTGCGCTCCACCACCCGGAACTCACCCTGCGGGCAAGGGGCAGAGACAAAGGAGTCCACCAGAGAATTCCCTGCTGCAGGGTGGTGAGAAAGAGGCCCAAGGAGGGTGACAGACCCAGAGTGAAGGGATCGAGACATGACATGTTACCCCAGCCCCTGGTGCCCCAGCCCCAACACACAGGGACCCGTCACAGGTACGCCACCCGCCCTCACCCAGGTCTGAGCCAGGTCCAGCAGACTCTGTCTGACTACTCCAGGCAGGATGATGCCATCCAGTGGGGGGGTCACCAGTTCTAGCACTAGGACAGGCGTGAGGGACAGGGCATTACTACAACCTTCTAGCACTGCCCATCCTCCTAGGAGCCTCCCCCTCTCCCAGAATCCCTGGCCCTTGCAACCTGCTAGGGATTCCATCCAGGGTGGGGCTGTGTCATGGTGGGCTCACCCCCGTCCTCATGGGTCCAGTAGATGAAGATGTTCATGGTGCCCACCTCAGTGAGCTGGTGGTCAGGCCCGTACAGCCAGAGGACCTGCTCGCAGCCCTTCTTTTGTGCCTCCTGTTGCAGTAACACGGTGGGCCCGTAATTCCTGGTGGAAGGCTGCCTGGTCGGACTGGGTAGGGGACGCCCATCCTTCCCCCACCGTGGCCCTGGAAGAGTGTTGCCATCCAGGGCTGACCCTGCTCCTCCCCAGTCCAGAGTGCCCCCCCAACACACAATCCCCAGCCATTCCCTTGGTGTCCAGACCTGGGGCTGCGTCTGCCCATTCCTGCCTCTTCCTGTTCTCCAGATCACAAGTGCACGGCCATTTGCTCTGCTGGGACCATCTTCCTCACCCTTTCACCAAACCAAATCCCCAAATGTCCTCCATAACCATTTCCCATGTGACACCCTACGAGAGGTATTTCCAGACCTCCATGTGGGGTTCTGGCCTTCTTTGGGCTCCCTCCCTGTGTCACCCTGTTTTAATACCTTTATCTGTTACTCAGAGTCGGCCTCAACCTTCACCTACTAGCCAGCCACTCCTGACTCCCCACTGCCCCAGGACACGATCCCAGCCCACGCCTGGTGTTCTGAGCCTTTCACAAAAACTGATCTTGTTTACTTCCCTGGACATTCACTGTGACCCCATCTATCCCCTTCACCCCCACACATGTGGCCCCACAACTAGAAAACACCGACTACCTTTTGTTTTTGAGAAAGGGTCTCCCTCTGTTGCCCTGGCTGGTCTCAAATCCTTGACTCGAGTGATCCTCCTGCCTCAGCCTCCTGAGCAGCTGGGACTACATGTGCCCACAGTAGCACTGGCTTTGTTTACTACCTTTGAACCCAAGAAACATCCTTCCTCCTCATCTGTGAAGCTGATCATAGTGCCCTATGTCACCCCCATCAGAGCCCATGCGGCTCTGGACCCTGGAGTTTCCACCAGCCAGAAGCCCCAGAGGACAGGCTGGCTCTGACTCATCTGTGTCCCCAGCTTCAGCCACCACAGGGCCTGGCCTAAGGAGACCTCATGAGATGTGTGTTGAAGGAACTCAAATGAACCCCCAGTGCCACTTTCTGTCCGATGTGACCAGTGACCATCCTCCACCTCACTCAGGAGGCCCCATCGCCTCTCCCCTGCCCTGATGAGCCAGGCTATTGGAGAAAGGATGGCGCAGGAAGTCCACGTGACTATGGGAGCCAGGCTCGGGAAACACAGCCTAGACTGGGTGAGCAAGGGCAAGTGATCCCGGAGGAGAGACCAATGAGCCAGACGCAGATTCCTCTCCGGAGGTCTCCAGGGGAGCAGCCTGGCCTCCCCACTGACCTCCACGCAGGCCCTCCCATCTCTGAGTTCATCTGTCCATCTGCGCGATGCTCTCATCCTTGTCCCAACGTTGGCCATCAGCCCTGAGCCCCGCACACGGAGTGGACATCATATCCCAGTCCGTGGGCAGAGCTGCCCCAACATGTAAAACAGGACAGTGAGGAAAACTGACATCCAGAAACACCCCCAAATTTGGGCACTGCACCCTGGCCTCTGGTCTCCAGTGCATGGTACATTCTAGGGGTGCAGGGGCTACTTACCCTCCCACCTTGTAGTCACCAACGCCACCCATCCAGGCGCGGATGAACGTCGGGTCGGCCAGGAGAGAGACAGGGGTCACCGAGTCTCCAGGAAAGTAGGAGCCCACAGGACAGAGGATGACAAACAGGAGGGCTTGACTGGCGCTGCTGACACCCAGCGAGTCCTGGGAGGGCAGAGGGGCAGCCTCAGGAGCTGGAGTCGCCCAGCCTCCTCTCTCAGACCAGGAGTCCAGGCCCAGCCCCTTTCCCTCCCCTAGCCCAGGGGTCCCCAGGAGTCCCCAGCCCTGAGGGGGGGCTCACCTCGGTGCCTATGAGCACGGGCCGCACGTAGAGGCTGGTGCCGGTGCCCCTGGGAACCCAGGCCTTATCCACCTCGATGAGCCGACGGATGCACTCCAGCAGCTCCACCTTGTCGAAACTCTGGGCAGGCCCCACACGGGTCAGGAGGCCCGCAGCTCTGGCCCTCCCCGTCCCCCCACAGGCAGGCCAGGCTGCTCACCGGCAGGCAGAGGCGCAGGGCTGTGCGCAGCATGCGGTCCATGTTGAGCCAGGGCCGGAAGAGGCGCACCTGCTGGTCCTGGCCTCTGTACGCCTTCAAGCCCTCAAAGAGCTGTGGGGACAGGTGTGCGGAGGCTCAGAGCCCCTGGGTCATCACAGACAGAGGGACAGCAAGAGACTGACAGACCAAGACACAAACACAGAGATGGAGTCAGAGATGGGGAGAGGCAGGCAGACAGAGAGGCAGACAGACAGAGGTAGACTTAAGGTGGCAGTGGACTTCTGTGGATACTGCGGACCACAGGGAGCCAGAGAGAACCCCCCACAGGAGCCCCTCCAACTACTGCTCATATTTTTCAGGCATGATAAACCTGTGAAAGTTTTGAAAGAGCCCTGGTATTTTAGAGAAATACTGAAACGGTTATGGATGGAATAACCCACTGTCTGGGATTTGCTTCTCATCACAAAGTGGAAGGCAATGGAAGTAAGTCCAGCGGAGACAAGGTTCTGGGCCAAAAGGAGCTAACAGAGGAAGCATGTGCCTCCTATTACCTACTTCTGTGTTTCGAATGTCGCATAAAAACTTTTTTTTAACTTAAAAAAAGTTGATCCCCACCCCCACCATGCTACTCTCAGGAGAAAGCTCAAGTCCCCACCGTGCCCTCTGAGGTCCTGGACCTGGCCTCTTACCTGCAGGCTCCTAGACTAACTCCTGCCCACTCTCCCCACAGGTGGCCACCTTGGCCTTCTCCTGCTCCCAGGGTCTGCAGTGGCTTGGTCCTCCCTCCCTTCACCCATGTCCTCCAGCTCATCTCATGGGGTTCAGCCCCAGGCACCTCCGAGGGCTGGGGTGGCTCAGCGTGGAGTGCCCGCCTACGGGTACAAGGCCCGGGTTCCATCCCCAGCACCAGTAAAAACAAAAACAGACAGCAAAACACAGCCAGGAAAAAGCAAGTATCATAACCTTCATGGTGTAGCCTCGCCCCCACGCACATCAGGGGCCTGGCCACTGCCCCTGGCTCCGTAGGGTGCCTGTTCAGTGTCCACCCAGGCTGAGAGAGCCCTAGGGCACTGGACATGTTCATCAGAGACCCCACAGCCCCTGGCATCCAGGACCCCACTTGGCACAGCGTGGGTTTTGTGGATTTAATTAATATGAATATGAAATGAATGAAGTAAAATTAGGCAGGATATTTTGGGGGGAAATACAACTAATAAGGGTTAAGAGGGGTGGGGATGGGGGGGTACAGTGGCCCGCGCCTGGAACCCCAGGCTCAGATACGAAGATACAAAGTTTGAGGCCAGACTTGGCAACTTAGTGAGACCCTATCTCAAAATAAAAAGTAACAAGAGCTGGGTTGTGGCTCAGTGGTAGAGCACCCCCAGGGTTCAGTCCCCAGCACTGTAAGAAAAAACAGAGCTGTGGCTGGGAGCAGTGGTGTATGAGGGGACTGACTCACAGTGGGAAAGAAGACCAAACACCCACAGAGGAAAAAATGAAATTGAACCCCTGCCTCACACCAGACAAAATTCCAGAGAGTGCAATTTTGAGTGGAAAAAAAATGCATATTAAACCATAAAAGCTATAGAAGAAAACACAAGCTAACTGCTTTCTACCTTAAATTGGGGAGGGTCTTTCTAAATTCGACAAATCACAAAGCCAAAAAATAAGAGTGACTATATTTGATTCCATTAAAAAAAAAAAAAACCTCCTGGAGTTTAGGGTATAGCTCAATGGTAGACTGCATGGTTAGCATGTGCAAGTCTCTGAGTTCAGTCCCCAGTACTGCAAAAATAAATAATAATTTAAAACCACTTGGGAGAAGGGAAAAGATCTAAAAGTTGGACAAGGCTTATCTAAGGTTTTGGGAAACAGGCTTGGCTGCTGAGTGTAGAAACTGATACAACTTCGGTAGCAGACAATGTGGCAATACCTTTCAAAATTATGAGTGTACCTGCACTTTCACCCAATAGTTGTAGAAATTGAGTGGAGAGATACACCTGCACTTAGAGGAAGTGACAGGTGCACTTCGTTGTTTATTGCAACTGTGTTTATAAGAGGGCAAGGCTGGAAACAACCCAAGTGCCCCAAAATAGGGGACTGCCTAATGCAGGACATTGTTAGGATGGAATACTATGCTGCTGCTGCTGCTGCAAAAAACGGAAAGCTCCTTAGGGCTGCTATAGGAGAAGTCCCACAGCTGTGGCCCCAGTTCAGATCTCCACGCCTACTTATCCTCTCCTACCTGAATCATCGCCCCAGCCTTGACCTCCTGGCCTCCAGTCTCAACTCCAGTCTATACAGCAAGAGGGAGGTCCTACTATACCCAGGTTGGGCCTGCACCTCCGCTGCTCAGAGTCCTCCATGGCTCCCAGCACCCCTGGACAAGGTCCAGTGCCTCAGTTCCTCCGGTGGCCTTGATAACACCCCTAGTGTCTTCTGACACACTCCAATCCCATAATTCCTCCCTATTATGCCAGGCCCTTCCTGTCTGGGCCTTGCATTGACTGGCCCCTTTCCCACTGACTGGCCCCTTCCCACTGACTGGCCCCTTCCCCACTGACACCCTAAGCCTCCTAGGTTTTGCCAGGAAAGGCCTCACTTTCCTTCAAGCTAGGCTAGACAGACCCTGGCCTCCCCCGCTGCCTCATCGGAGTCTAGGTAACACCAGGTTGTAACCACGGTGCAGTTTCGAGTGAGGGAACCAGGACCCCAGTGTGAAGTGCAGGAGGCCCCGGAAAGCTGGTGATGAGTGAGTGGAAAAACGCCTGTGGAAAGCAAACCCAGGGAGGTGGAGCTGGCAAGGGGCACAGCAAGGAGGGGATGCACACGGGACCAGGGACAGAGGTCAGCGGCCACGCCACCTGCAGGGAGTAGTGGAGGGCCGAGCAGGCTGGGTGCAGAGTGAGATTCTGGAAGGGCTGGATCCTGGGCTGGCCCCAGCCCTTCTTCCTATTCCATTCCACCATCAGCATGTGGTCGGTGAACGTCTTCCCAAACACCAGGGAGTCGCTGGGGCTGGGCTTCTTTCGTGGCTCCTTCGTTATTTGCAGCTGCAAGTCTGCAGCCTGAGAAAAGATGGGACACCCAGGCGTCCAGGAATCTGGTCACAGGTGTCCAACTGAAAAGCTATAATTCTCTTCATGAGTGCCTGCCCCAGTGGACTCTGGGAAATGCAGCCTTTCCCCAGGCTGTTGTGCTACACCACTGCCACCCACCTGCACCTCCAGGCTGCAGACCTTTGGAGATGCCCAGATCCAGCTGCCAATCCCCTCCTCCCTCAGACTTAGGGGTCCAAGCCCCTGTCCCCCTCTCTGAGGCCCAAGAGTCCAGGCCCCAGCCTCCTCCCTGGTGTTCTGGTCCCTCCTTTCACCTTGAAGTTGGTGGAGGCACATCCTCTGAGACCCCACAGAAGCCAAGGGACAGGGAGAAGTTTCCGGGACCAGATCTGGGACAGAAAGAGAAGTGAGGAAGGTGACGTGCCAGCAGTGGGAGAGAGCAAGGGTCCCAGTATTTCATTTGTCACTTCCTGCACCTAGGAGTACCCTCTGGTGTCCCTGTCACAGTCCCCGTGCATTCAGGCAGGGCATTTGGCTCTAGCCAAGTGCTCCCAGAGAGTCCTACTAGGGCCATCCCTAGAGGGAGCTGAATGGGCTCCAGGCCCCCTCCTCCACCCCGGGCAAAGTCAAAAGCAGGCGCCTCCCACCCCAGGAAACTTTGACCTCAGCCTAGGACCAGCTCAGACAAGGCGAGGACGACGGAAGGTGTGCAGGTAAGCAGAGGCCTCCCAAGGGACCCAAGTCACAAGAGGAGTCAGGTGAGCAAGGGACCTATAGGCCCTGTTCCCTGAGAACTCAGGAATCCAGGCCCCCAGCCCTTGCCCTCGGAACCAGGAGTCTCAATGCTTATTACTTCTGGGTATTAGATCGAGATCACCTGAAGCGCCTGACCCCACACCATGGGTGCCACCTCAGCAGTGAATCCAATGCCCTTCAGATCTCAGAGGCTGAGGGGCAGCACAGGACCCTGGGGGCCACCCAAATCATCAACAGACCATGCTCAGGTGCACACTTCCCTCACAGACCTCGCTGAGGAGAGCAGGGCACAGTGGTCTGTTGGACTAGCAGGGTGGCCCACCCTGGGGATCTCCCACTCACAGTGCTTCTTTCCCCAACCCTGCAGGAAGACAGCTGGGCTGTAGGATTGAGGACACAGAGCAGCCTGCACTCTCCCTATGAGCCAGGAGAGCTGTCACCAACTGGCAAGAATGGATATGAATGGCAGGGATCACTGGCCAGCAGGTGAGTTATGGGGAGACAGGGTTATGGGATGCAGTGTCACAGACTCTGGGCAGTGAAGCCTGAGATGCGGCCTTGCTGGTGTAGGCCCAAGGGCCTCTGGAATGATCGCTGACTACAGTGTGTGCCTCCCCTCCCCTACGTGGCCTCTGTGTGTAACATGGAGCCTGCCTGGCCCTGTGGCCAAGGCTCTGCACAGAAAAGGACAGGACAGCCACAGTATGGAGAGCAAACACACAGTACAGGAAAGCCAGCACAAGGACAAGATAGCAGAGGAAGCCAGGACACATAAATAAAAGAGATTTAGAGAGGAAAGTGAAAGAATGAGAAAAAGAAACAGAAATGGAGAACAAACTGAAAAGAACAGGCATCAAGGCCGAGTTGCCAAAATGTGTCTATCACAGAAAAACCAAGATGAGAGACAGAGAGAGACAAAAGGAGAGGGAGAAAGAAAGAGAGGAACTCAGGCAAAGTAACAAAGCCTGGAGGAAACCAGGGAAGTGACTGACAGCAGAATACAGAGAAGCCAAGAGGCAAGGTGAGGGAAAGGAGAGGAACAGACAAAAGTGAGACCTCAGAGCCCTGGGTGGCAGGAGAGCTGAGGGAGAGGGAGAGACACTGTCTCAGAGGTGTTTGGAGGCAGGAGAAGCAGAAAAACAGAGCACACCCCGCAGGGCAGAGAAGGCACAGGGCATGGTGTCAGAAACCTGTGACAGTGAGTAAAGTTACCTTCCTCCTCCTGGGCATTTCTCTAAGGTGAGGAGGGCACCCTGCCATCCCAGACCCCAAACTACGGAGTGGAGCCCAGAGGAAATGCGCAAATGGAGACTTCTGTCTCTGACAGAACCCAAGAGTTTCATCATTAAACACCAGGAGTGTAAAAGGATGGAGGCTGAGTTAAGAAAGAAGGGGGCCAGTGGTGGTGGGGCACTCCTGTGATCCCAGTTGCTCAGGAGGCTAAAGCAGGGGGATCCCAAGTTAAAAGGCAGCCTCAGCAATTTAGCAAGGCCCTAAGCAACTTAATGAGACCCTAACTCAAAATTTTAAAACGGGGTGGGGTGGGGGACACTGAGATATGGCTCAGTGGTTAACTACCCCTGGATTCAACCCACAGTACCAAAACGAAATGAAGAAGAGGGGTAGGTGCACAAGAAAGGCTCGGTAATATGACTGAGCCTCCACCGTGTCCCCTACAGCACAGGACATCTGTCTCTGACAGAGCCCAAGAGTTTTATCATTAAACACCAGGAGTTTTCCTCTCATAGCCCCAAACTGTCCTTGTCACAGCCCAGGACTGACCCCATCACGTCAAGAACTTGCCTTTGTAGCCCAGGACTCACTCTGCATCCCAGCCCAGGGCTGTCCTGTAGAGCATCCAAGACTCTACATCGGAACCCCAGATGGCTCCAGTCACTTCCCAGGACTTCCCCCTCCAGAACCCAGCAGTGTCTCAACACAGCTCAGGAATGTCTGCCTCCAAAGCCAAAATCTTCTTCCTCTGTATTCCAGGATTGTCCCTGTCAAGACCCAGCGGCTGTATCTTTCAGATCCAAGAACTATTCCCATGTCAGTCTAGGCCAGTCCCTGCAGGTCACTGTCCACTTCACACCCCAGGACCTCCCAGGGAGTCCCTGACTGTGCCCATCACAGGTTCAGCCCCAGACTGTCTCCATTACAGGACAAACCGTCTTCATTAGAGCACAGGAATGTCCCATTAGAGTTTAGGACTCACCTACTATGGCAGTACTGTGCCATGACAGGACTCTCCACATCATGGCCCCAAACTACACCCGTCAGACCCCAGCACTGTCCCACCATAGCTCAGCTGTGTCACCATCAGTGCCCAGGGTGCCCCTGTCATATCCCAGGCCTGTCCCACAGTATCTGCCCAACACTAACTATCCCTGTCACTAAGACCTGGGAAAAGTAAAAAATCTGCCTTGCTATGCATCATCCTGGGATAGAAACTTAGATAAAGTCAGGTGCAAACTTAAGAGTAAACATTTCTCCCAAGGTTATGCTGCAGCTGTCAAGGGTTGTATGGACCCAGTGGTTTCCTTCCTAAGAAATTCTGTTCTCTATAATCATAGGCTCTAGGAAACTCAGCCGTTTGACCTCGTATCATCGGTAAGAACAGACCATCCCGCTCTTGCCTGGAGGACCTTCACAGGGAGAAGCTGCCTCAATCTCTAACCAGGTGCAGACTTCATATGAACCTTCCCCATCTGTCTTACCGACCTTTCCTTCCGAGAAACAGGACCTCGGCTCCGATTCCCAGCCGAGACCTGAGGCTGAGCTCAGTGCCTTCCTCCCGCCCCAACACCTGGAGGTCCAGGGCCCCAGATCCCGCCGCGCCCCCCGCGGGCAGCTCCCTCCCGACTCCCCAAGACGTTATTCCAATCGCAACGGTTCCGCCCCACCCTGGTCCCCAGCCTCCTCAGGGCGAGCCCCTCCTCCACGTTCCCCGGCAACCTCCCAGGTGCCCTCCCCACAATTACCTGCCCCCGACCCCCAGCCCTTTAAACCCTAGGGCTCCTGTCCAAAGGACCCCATTTCTTACGCACCGCGCCACGGAATCTCAGGGCCAGAGAAGCCGGGCTGAGCGAGAAAGCTTGCGCGCCCATGATCCTCCCGGAAGTGCGCCCCACCCCCGGGTTCCCCAGACCCCCAGACCCCCAGACCCCCAGCTGGCGTTGCGAACCCACCTGCCCCAGCGCGAGCGCGGCCATGACCAGTGCGGCGCGTAACTGCGCCCGCCCGGGGCGCGGCCCCAGAGAAAGTCGTTCCGGCCCCGCCCCGCGTACGCCCCCTCCCGCAGGATGCCTGCCCGCGGGCCACCCCAATTGGGGCCAGGCCTCCCCAAATAGTGAGCCAGGCCCTGCTGCGGAGTACATGCGCTGTACGAGGCAGGAACTGAAATGCACTCCTCCCTCATTCCCCCCCCACACACACACGTCTTCATATGCCCAGTAATTTTTGAAAATGTATTTTCATAGAGTTTTTCCTGGAGAGCCGGACAGGACAAGCATCCCGAGGTAAGAGAAGGCAAAGCAAGGAGCTGAAAGTCGGTTACGCCATCTCTTTGTGAAAAAGAAAAGCTCACTGTAAATGTCAGCGGAGGCATAAAGAAATGTGGCTTTTGGAAAAGGGCTCTGCTGAGTGGGACAGAGGAGGATGAAGAAGGAGCTTCACTCTGCACTCTGGATACTTTCCTATTTGAATATGGCTTTTTCTTAACGAGGAGAAAATATGTGTGTGTTCTTTGTAACTCTGAACTAAAAGCACACAGAGTTCGCCATGCCTCCTTCCAGTCCCTTTAATCAGTGAAGCCCGAAAAATTGCACACATGCCTACATCTCACTCATCAGTGAGCCTCAAAGAAGAGCCCCTGGCGCAGGGTGTCCTGGTTACACCCCTCCAGGAGCATCCCCCAGCTTCAGGACTCCAGAGGCAGAGTTAGCCAATCGCAGTCCTTCAGGATCCCTCCGACCCCCTAGCAACTCAGACCTGAGACAGTGACCCTCTTGACTGTGCTCCCCCATCACTGTGTGCCCCAAACTTTTCGTGATCAGTGGTCTCCTAAATCCCTGCATCCGCGTTACCCTAACACTGAAATCTCATCTCTGCTGCGTCCTCAAAACGCGGTCCCTAAGCCATGTACCTCCATAATATTGGGACACTTCCCCCCAAGTTGTACCCCCTCAATGGCACCAAATGCTGTCCCTAGCCCCAGTCCCCCCAACCCCCACCTCAAACAGCTACTGGACAGAGGAACCACATCACGGTCCCTCCCCTGCAGATGTTGCTGTTTTTCCTCTCTCCACCCGGGTCCTCCTCCCCCACCATCCGGGCGGGGGCTGTAGGGTTGGCGCCCACAGGCCGCTCCCGGCCCCCCGCAGCCAATCAGCGACTGCCGCACACCCCCCGCGGCGGCCAATCCGCAGCAGCTTTGCAGCCCCACCCCCTCACCTGCGGGGCGCTGCTGCAACTGGGCGCCGCGCCGCAAGAGACCTCCCTCAGCCAAAACTCGGGAGTCCTGGCCCTAGCACCTTCTCCCTCTGACCCCGATGTCTCAACCCCGCTTCCTCTTCCCTCAGGACTTGTCCTGGTAGTCACTTTCCTGCTCCACAGGCCAGGAGGTCAAAACTACTTTCCCCAAGGGTCAAGAATAAAGAGGCCTTCTCCTTCTCCATTATATATCCTAATTAGCGTTTAATTTACTCTCCCCTGTGTGACTTCTAATTAGCACCCAGGTGAAGCTGAACTGCTCTACCTGGCGTCCGTGAGCCACTGGGGCACCTGCTTCAAAGCCCTCCGGGAACTGTCATCCTTCAGGGTGGAGGCAACTTGTGGGCTACTGCCCTGGTGTGCTCACATTTGTATAAAGGGCAGGAAATACATATAACGTTGTTCTCCTTCTGACTGCAGATTGCTTTTTGGGGACTCTAAGGGGTGATCCGGTGCATTCCTATGTGGGTTAAACGTCTGGGGGGGGCTGGACCTGGGAGGTAGATGGGACAGGCTGGAGTTTGGGGTGGGAAATGCTGGGTAGGGAGGCTCGAGTGGAAATGTGGGCAATCAAGAAGGGCAAGTGGGGAGGTCCACAGGGGTGCCCGGAGCAGCCTTACACCCATACCCCAGCTCTGCACCCCCAGTCACAAGGAGCTCAATGCCTGTGCAGAAGCTGGCTTCAGAAGCCAGGAATAGGGCTGCGGCCCCCACCTCAGCTGGCTGGCCCATGCGGCCCAGGGGCTGGGGAGAGAGGAGGAGAAAGGAGGTCAAGGGGAGCCCCCACCAGATGGCCACACCCCCAAGTTTCCTCCATTCCACCTGGATCTGGTCCTCAACTCCTACCTGGGCCAAGGTGCCCTCCTGGATTGTGGCCCTGGGGTCTGGTGTTAAGGCTGCCAACTGTTCCCACAATGGGGTCCAGATGTTTCCTGGGGAGATACTGGGGGAAGGGAGAGAGGGGATCAGAGAAGTGTGTCCCAACTGCTGCCTCTTGGGCTCACTCCCAGTCTTCCCAGTTCCCCCAGGAGACTCACAGCCTACTGCTTGGGGCTCACCAGTTGACTCGGACGCCATATTGGCTCTCATCCAGGGCCAAGGCTTTGGTCATGGCTGTTACTGCCCCCTGTAGGAAACAGGCCAGGGAGAAAGTTCAGTCCCAGAAGTTGGGGCCCTTCCGTCCACTCCTTCTAGCCAGGGGGCATCAAGCAGGGGCATCAGAACTTCCCCTCCTCATATGCCTCTTAAAATGCCATTTCTTGAGAGAGACGCGCCAAGAGCCATTGATCACAGGTTGTTGTGTCTCAGAGCTGAATCGGGGAGTTGGGTGGCAGCTGCTCCTAAGATCCTGGGTTTAGAGCTGAGGCTCCCAGAAAGTGGGGTGGGGGGCAAGGAAGGGGCAAGGACTGGGGTACCTTCGTGGCCACGTAGGGAACCGCCTGGGACTGGCCAATGGCCCCGACCAGACTGGAGATGTTGATGACGTTGCCTTGGGTCTTCCTCAGGTGGGGGAGGGTGAGCTGGAGAAACAGGAGGCAGAATCAGCCCCCAAGTCTCTGGGTCTCCCCCAGTGTGCTGAAGGTGAGCCATAGGAAAGCTGACCTCGGGCACACTGGCCATCTCCTCCGTGTTCCTAGTTGATCTTGGGGGCACTTTCCGGGCTTGGCCCTAGTGCCTCGGGTCTCAGCCATGAGAGTTGCTCCTTGACTGGACGGGATTTCTCTTCTCTTTGTGTCTCTTCTGCTGGGTCTCTGCCTCCCTCTCTCTGGGTCTCTTTATGTTACACAACCCGCCATCCACATCAAATCAGGAAAATGGGAGACAGATTCAGAAGGCTGTAAGTTTTGCAAAAATGGAAGGCAGTGCTTTTACCCCTGGAGGGGAGACGTTTCTCTGAATTCTATAGAGAGCTCTGTGGTCAGATGTGAAGTGGGAGGCCTTCCTGAAATGCACCCCTTTCTGCCAACTCCCCCTGAGCAGCTCCCTGGAGGTCCTCCGCGCATTCTGGCACTCGGGTGAGTGTGGTGGGTTCTCTACACATGACCTTGGATACATTCAAATTCCATCCTTCCTCTTGCCTGCCTTGGGCAGCTGAGCCAGCCATCCAGGGCCTGTTCCTGCCTGTAAACATTCATGAACACAAGCCAGCACCTCCCTCCCAGACTCTCAGAATGGAAATCTAAATAAACTCCCTCTTGGTTCACCCCTCCAGCTCTTGCAAACCTCCACCATTTCTCAGTACTGTATCTTCAAATGCACTTTGCGTATCTCAACCTCAGGGCCTTTGCACTTGCTGTTCTCTCTGCCTTGCTAACCATCCCAGTTAGCCCAGGACTGAAGGGTTTCTGGGAACATGAGGTGTCCAGTCCACACTTTCCTTGGGGGGTGGGTGGGTACCAATAATTGAACCCAGGGGCTCTTTACCATTGAGCCACATTCCCAGCCCATTTTATTTTATTTTGAGACAGAGTTTCACTAAGTTGCTTAGGGCCTTGCTAAGTTGCTAAGGCTGGCCTTGAACTTGTGATCCTCCTGCCTCAGCCTCCTGAGCCTCTGGGATTTCAGGCATGCACTACTGTGCCCAGCCTCAGTCCACACTTTCAATGCTAAACTGGGGCAATGGTGGGTCATCACACCCACTCAGCTTCTTCAAACACTGTTCCAGTGCCACCTATTAGTGAGGCTTTTCCTGACCATCCTATTTAAAACTGGGACCTGCCAAGCCTGTTTCTGACCTATTATGTTTTGGAAGGAAGGAAAGAAGGACAGATCTGGTATATATCTGCCCTGTTCTCAGGTATTCTCACCACTTAGCTCATTTAACCCCAAAACTACCCTGCAAGATGGCACAGTTGCCCGGTGTAGTGGCACATGCCTGCAAGGTGGCACAGTTGCCTGGTATAGTGGCACACACACGCCTACAATCCCAGTGACTTGGGAGGTTGAGGCAGAAGGATCACAGGTTGGAGGCCAGCCTCAGCAATTTAAAGAGGCCCTGTCTCAAATTTTAAATAAATAAAGGCTGTGAATGTAACTCAGAGGTAAAGCGCCAAGCCCCATAAACAAAGGAGACTTTCTGACAACTCTGTTGGAACCCTAATATAATTTGAACATGAACAGTATGCCTGGGCTTCGGGGAGGGGCATTCTCTGCCCTCCTGCTCAGGGAACCCCCTGCACCTTCTCCCCCTCAGGCCTCGACACCCTCCTTCGGCAGCCCCACCTTGAACCTGACCTGCTGTTAACTTCCTCCACACCCCTAACCTTGCAAACAAGGCCCAGGAGCACGGGGACCCAGCCATTACCTCCTCCCTGCACCGGGCACGCCCACAGCTGGTGCTCAGAGATATTTGTCCCACACTCCGGCTCTCCCCCCTCCCACATTCCTTGGCCAGTGTCCTTCTCCCCAGGTCTCTCAGGGTCACTTGGTATCCCTAGGTAGCTACAGAGTTGCTGGCTTCCCCCTCCCTCCTGGTTCTCCTAAATGCTGTGGCAGGGACTGGGAGGAGCACTTTGCTGGTTTCTACCAGCATCTTCTAGATCTGCCTCAGAGCCCTGTCTACAGCTCCTGATCCCCTCTCCTGGGCATCTACCTCAGTGTCTCCTGAATAAGAGTCTCCCCTTTGTCCCCCCAATGCCTGTCCCCTCCATGGTACTTGCTTTTAGTTGTTGATGGACCTTTGTTTTATTCATTTATATGGGCTGCTGAGAATCGAATCCAGTACCTCGTAGGCACGTGGTAGGCAAGCACTCTGCCACTGAGCCACAACCCCAGCCCCTTGTTTTGTTTTGGTTTTGGTTTTGGTC